ATATGGACTTCTACATACATACAGCCATCTAGCCACCTCTAGCTTCCTGCTTTCTGAGCATGTGTGTCCCTGGACAAACACACAAGCAAATACTCGTTTAAGAAGTAAAAAGCACCTTTAAGCATTTCAGGCTTTAAAGAATTCCTTCATTTGAAGGCTTTACAAAATTACATAAAATTACAGTGTGTTGGCCATTGAAAATACTTAGACTACATAAAATTCATAGTGAATAAAAAAACCCCAAGAGTTTATAATTGTCCCTGGCTTCAATCAAATCCTGTGTACTTAATCAAACATGCTTTAGCATAGCTAGAATTTTTTTTTTTTTTTAATTTCAGGTAAAATGTTAAAATGTTTGTCATGTCTATCTTAATTATCTACTCCTAGCAGTTACTGCTGTCCCTTCGGACCCAATTATGAATGGGCTTTTGATTCAATGGTGATCTAATCCTTGTTAATTAAGGTAACTAACTGCATTGAATTCACCATGGCTTTTGGATGAAATAACGACTACAAATCTTTACTTCAGTTGCATGCATCCTGTTCAGTTGTGCCTGCATCTGGTGTCCTTGCTGAGTTTGGGCATCAATCTAAATATTGCCATGGGGCTCCTCAAAAGAGAAAATCTGGAAATAGATTACTCTGGCTCTTTTAAGTGAAATATTTTATTTGCCATAATATTTTATAGGAGGGATAATTGCCTTTCCTTTGACTAATCATATATGCCTCAAACAACAGTTATCACTGTTCAAATGCAAATGAACCAAACCTTGACAATTGCTATGTTTAAATAAAGAATAATTAGGAAGAAAGCTAATATCCCTAGGTCATTTACAGTATCTGACTGGGGAATACTTCAACTCTTGGCTAGGAAAGGAGAGAGAGTGAAAGAAGGTGGGGAGGGGGGGACACAGGGATGACACAGAGAGAAAGAGAGCAAGAGACTGTATTTCTTACATTGAAGATGTTGTAGTTTTCTGTGCGGTCCAGCAATTTATCTAGAGGATAAAGAGCTCGGCTGGCAGCATGCCAAGGCAGAAAATCCTTCTCCTCTGAAAGATATCTGATAATCTCCAAAGGAATATTCTGAGGCAAATAACCAGCTCTGCAAAATAAAAGAAGTTAGTATTAAATTGTTTTTGCAGAAGATACATGATGAGGCAAAAATGACTTCTTTTTTTCCAAATGAAATTAAAAGGCAGAAAAACATAATAAACTCATCACATTATAATGACATAACAGTCAACCTTCTAAAAAACCAGCAGCTCAAAGTCACTCCCAACACATGTGCAAGCATACTTACTGGATGAAGGAAGGCATGAAGACAGATGAAAGAAAACTAGACAAGCTATACCTACGTTTTATGGATTCCTGTGGCTATAAAAGACATGAACAATGAAGTAACTGACTTTAATCGAAAAAAAAAAAAAAAAAAGAAGGTGCTGCTTTGCTGATTTGCAAGATAGAAAGCTGTCTGCCTAAAATCAACAACCCAAGGCATTTTGCTTCAGAGAACATTTCTACTGGCCATGGGCAATTGGGAAGATCTAATGGAGAAAAAGCATCCTTTAGTTTCACAGTTCTCCTCCCCACTTTTTCCTCTCTCTCCTTTAGAGCTGCCTTGTCTTCTATCCACCTTAAGCCATTTTGGAATGAATGACTTTATCAAACTGAAGTGGCATTCAGTGACATCACTGGTTAAGGATGTTTCACTGCCTTCCACATAAACTATGTTTTTTTCAGGTGTTTATAAATCAATCAGCTAGAATTTTGCCCCATTTTTTTTACAGTCATAAAGGACCTCTCCCTGCAAGGG